CTTTTTGAATAGTTTATTGCTAGTTGCAACAGTAAATGACTGTTTTGAATAGTTTATTGTTATTTACAGCAGAGGCGGCTCCTTTCGGACACGGGCAGGCGTTGTGGGGTACCCGCAGCTTCTTCATCCATACCTAGGTTAAGGCCCCGTTTAGATGCAAAATTTTTTGGATTTTGGCTCATTGTAGTATTTCGTTTGTATTTGGTAATTAGTGTCTAATTATGGACTAATTAGATTCAAAAGTTTCGTCTCGCGATTTCTCACCCAACTGTGCAATTAGTTTTTTTGTCTATATTTAGTACTCCATGCATGTGCCGCAAGATTCGATGTGACAGGTACTGCGCAAATTTTTTTAATCTAAACAGGCCCTAAGGTGTGTTCTTCTAATTTTTTTTTGTCATTCAGTTCAGATAACAATGTTAAGTGTAGAAGTAGAGTATGTATTTGGAAAGTTTAACCAAAATATCTAATAAGTCATTGTACCTGTAATTTCTTAATGTGGCACTCAACAGTTAGGAAACGGGGCATTATAGATAGACATTAGACAATGCAGTATAACTTTTGTGAATGTTCATGACACCAATTTGACTCAGAAATATCTGGAGTGGTGGTTTTATGTCTTGTTAAATGCTTATTAGTGATTGTCACCCGGTTCGTTTGGCTGTGGGTTGTCGTAAACGATCATAAATTTCCAGCCGGAACAATATTTTTCTCTCACACAAACGAGCCAGCAGTACTTCTTCACGAACCAGCAACGAAACGAACCAGCCAACCGAACAGGCTGTGTGTTTACCATAAAAAATGGCAGACTCAGTGCCGGAGGATCCCACATGAGTGGGGTCTAGGGAAGGGAAAAACCGAGGCAAGCCTTTCCACCACAAAATCTACGGAGAGGCTGCTTCAAACTCACGATCTGGTGACTTAGTGAGACAACTCTCACCATTACACCAGGCCTGTCCTTCTAAGTGATTGGGGGTGTTCGTTTGTGCTAGAGCTGCAGCTCCATGGCTGCAATACACTCACTATTTTAGTGTACTAGCAGCTGCATTTGACCGGAAAATCCTAGGTTCGAGTCGCGGTCTCCTCACATTACACGGGCGAGGATAATGCTTGCCACTGACATCCTTTCCCAGACCCCGCACAGAGCGAGAGCTATCTGCACTGGGTACGCACTAGCAGCTGCATTTGGCTACATCAGGCACCCCTAATTGTGTTTACCATAACTATATTAATTGTGACCGGAAATTGCTTCTTTTAATTGGCACGACCGTCTTTGACCTCAACTGTCTATGATTCAAGCGTTACCTGTTGGTACTTTTGACACAGTATATAATATTTGTAGTTCTAGCCTATATTATGAGTGGATGCTCTGAGTGAAAAAAAATCTCATTTAGTTTTGGAGTCAATGAAATTGAGCTGCTCAATTTGTTTGGAGAAAAAAAAAGATAATAGAGCAATAAAAATGGAAAAGTTAGATATATAACAAGAGCTCTGGGCAAGAATAGCCTAGAGGAAACAGATATATTGCATCATGTGTTGCCATCATGGCATCATGGCTTGAAATTGTAGGTGTCGCACAGTAGCTTTGAATGAGCCATATCTCTCTTTCTAACCGATATGCTGCCATCCATATCATTTTTTGCCATCATGGATTGATGTGCTTTTTTATCCTAATTATGGAGTGATTTCTTTTGAACTGTGTTTGCGTATGGCTGGACTATTTTTCTATTTTTCAGGGTCTGCACTAATGTATGCAGGTTTAATTTCTATATCTTTTCAGTCCAACAAGCACGAAAGTTACTAGATGAGAGGGAAAGAAAGATCAAAGATCAAAGTGCAGCAAGAAGATCAAAGTGCTCGTGGTGGTTGTTTTGTTCCATAACTTCCTAGATATAAAACATTATTCAAAAGAACTTTATCGTTGTGCAAGTAAGACATGAATTATGGGTTGTGCTTGTACATGACAAACACCTTAGCTGTGTAGATACTTAAGTGATCTACTTGGTTGTGAGCATTTTGTTTAAAAATTGTACAAGTACAAATGTTGATGAGGATGAGTGGAAATTGTGAGTATGGTTTAGCCGGTTTCAAATGAGCATTTGGTCGAAGGTGGAACTGGCTGCACATTGCGCACATTGCAGTTCACCTCACGATATGCAAAATGGAGGTTCCATGAGGTGATGACGGCTAGAGAGATATGTGGTGGTTACATATCAATTTAGTCAAAAATAATTTTAGAGGTTAGTATATATATTCTAATTATATATGTGGTTGTATGGTAATTAGTGGAGTGTCAGTGTAATTATTTATAAAGCAAAGCATTGGAATGTAACTAGAGTACCAGTTTATGATATCTTTTGGTTGTTTCAAATTGCACCCTGAATGTTGTCGTGGCGTTAGCAGAAGGTGACGCTTATCGTGATTGACCTTAGACTTGTTGAAAAGTGGTGTAAAGACACACCGGTACTGATTTTTCTAGGCAAAGTCTTGGATTTAACTTGCAATACATGGCCAAAGTGAATGTACGTATTCCTGATGGAATGAAAATTCATCCGTGAAAAAACATTGTAGATGGCGCTGGTACCTTGGTGTTATAAACGCTAACAAATGTGAGGTCTAGGTGCTAGACTCTTTGGACGAGATGTTCGGACGTGTTGACCTCAATAAAACTGTGGGTATTTTCTAACACAGGTATTTGTACATATTTTAAAATTTTGTGAGAATTTTGAAGACATGCAGTATTAACTATGTAACAGACACTAATATTTACATATATACTCGAACCTCTATACAGGATGGTATGGAGATGCGGCGGAACTTACTCGTGAATTTATTGACGCACGAAAGAAATGGATATCGAAGATTTCTTCCTGCCGATATAAAACATTATCTTAGCCGCATCACGGAAAGGTCTATATAGTAGAGTGTGTGAGCCTGCGAAGCCGCACTCTTCGTGACTATTAATTTCACGAACTTTGCTTTTCGAATTAAATGTCACTTTAACGTCGGTATTTAATTTCACAGTATTGTTATCTTATCGTGTGATTCGTGTATTTTTAGTATAAAAGTTTTGATGTTCTGTAGCAACGCACGAGGACGAACCTAGTAATAATACTAGGTAGCGTGCCCGTGCGTTGCTACAGGACAACTAAATCCTTTGTACTAAAAACACAAGGATCGCACGATAAGATAACAATACTGTTAAATTAAATACCGACGTCAAAGTGACATTTAACTAAAAAAGCAAAGTTCGTGAAATTAACACAGTCATGGAGAGCGCGACGTCGTAGGCTCACAAACTCTACTGTATGGACTTTTTCATGATACGGCTAAGATAATGTTTTATATCGACAGAAAAAATTCTACAATATCTATTTCTTTCATGCGTCAATAAATCCATGAATAAGTTCCGCTGCATCTCCATATAATCATGTACACACAGGTTCAAGTATATATGTAAATAGGTTCATGCCCGTGCATTGCTACAGGACAGCTAAACTTTTGTACTAAAAACACACGGATCACACGATAAGATAACAATACTGTAAAAGTATATGACCGACGTTAAAGTAACATTTAATTCAAAAAGCTAAGTTCATGAAATTTACACAGTCACAGAGAGCGTGGCGTCGCAGGCTCATAAACTCTACTGTGTAGATCTTTCCGTGATGTGGCTAAGATCATTTTTTATACCGTCGGGAAGAGATTTTCGATATCCATTTCTTTTATGCGTCAACAAATCCACGAATAAGTTCCACCACATTTTTATACCATCCTGTACACGGCGCTGGCAAACGAATTAGCCACAACTCATGTAATTAGTTTTATAATTAGCTTATGTTTAATCCTCCTAATTGATATCTAAAAATTCAATGTTTCCTTTCATGTTTACGTGGAGATGAAAGATATCTGAGAGAGCGAGAGAGGAGCACCGCATGATTGTTTCATTCCATGCATGATTATCGTTTCCTTTCATGCATGATTATTGTTTCCTTCCTTGCACGTGGCCTCATGTGATCGATTTGTTTCCTTCAAAGTAGGCGGGGATTGCAGGTATGACAGTTTCTTTTTCTATCGCACGGGATATCGTACGGCTGAAAAGGAGGAGCGACAAAAAAAAAGTCGTATAAAAAAATTATCTTACTTTTGTTTTTTTCGAGAGATATGTGCACGCCGTACCGCTATATATTCTGCTCACCACTTTGATTGTTTATTTGCGATCGAGCTATAGCACTTATCCCCTCATCACAATGTCCCGCTGGCCGGAGACAAATATCTAATTTCAGCAATTGCGCATGGCCCCATCCACATACAGTAAGATACTTGCATGTGCCTCGAACTTTGAGCTAGTGGACTATCAATTAGTTATAAATTTAGATTCGAGTGATATCCAGATCTAAACGGGTCTTAACCCGCTCTTTAGGTTGACGTATACACCGAGTGTCAGCATGTTCGGTTGGTTGTTTCATATCTCGGCTGGTTTGTGAAGAAGTACTACTGACTGATTTGTGTGAGAGAAAAATATTGTTTCTGTTAAAAATTTATGATCATTTAGAACAAGCCACAGCCAAACCAACAGGTTGTGTGTATGACATGACCCTTATATGTGGGATCCACATGTGGAATATATATTTCTATTTTATTTTTTCTTGTCAATTTTTTTCTCCATTTTCGTTCATTTGTTCGCACAACCAGCGGCGACGGCGGCGAGCCCGCGCGCGGCCGGTTTGGGGAGCCCGTGGCAGCAAGCTCGCGCATGTCCCGTGGCGGCGGCGGCGGTGGCGAGCCAGCACGCGGTCGACCTGGGGAGCCAGCGGCGGCGAGCTCGCGCACGACGTCGTGCCCGCACAACGAGGGAGGAGGCCTGCCATAACCTGCTGTTCGCGACGACGTTCAACAGCTACAGCGGCTTGCGGCTGCTGTTCCCCGGGAGCTTGGCGCGCGTCACGCAGTCCGGCCGCGGGCTCCACGAGAAGCTGGCGGCGGAGATCCACGCCGCCATGGCCGGGGGCGAGGGCGAGGTGACGGCGGCGGCACTGGAGATGATGGAGCTGACGTGCTCCGTGGTGTAGGTGTGGGAGGTGCTGCGCCTGGACCGGCTTGTCAAGTTCCAGTACGGGCGCGCCAGGGCCGACCTGCCGGTGGAGAGCCACGACACGTACGAGGTGAAGAAGGGGGAGATGGTGTTCGGGTACCGGCCGCTGGCCATCAGGGACGCCCGTGTGTTCAGGCCCACGGCGGGGGAGTTCGTTGGCGACCGGTTCGTCGGCGAGGAGGGCAGGAAGCTGCTGTGGTACGTGGTCCAACAGCAGGGAGACCGACACGATGAGCGTTGACAACAAGCAGTGCCCCGGCAAGAGCTTGGTGGTGCTCGCCGGCAGGCTCTTCCTCCGCTACGACACCTTCACCGCCGCGGGTCGTGCACGGGCTCACCGCTGCAAGCTCCGCCGCGCCCCAAGGTCATCCGCGCGCGGGCTCGCCGCCGCAGGCTCCGCCGAGCCCCAAAACCGGCCGCGTGCTGGCTCGCCGCTGCGGGATCGCCGCTGCCGTCGCCGCGGGCCCTGCTGCGCCCCCAGGTCGGCCGCGCGCGGGCTCACCGCTGCCGTGGGCCCTGCTGCGCCCCCAGGTCGTGCGCGAGCTTGCCGCCACGGGCTCCCCAAACCGGCCGTGCGCAGGCTCGCCGCCGTCGCCGCGGGTTGTGCGAACAGAGGAACGGAAATTGACAGAAAAGTGACAAGAAAAAAAAATAAAATAGAAATATACATGTGGGTCTCACATGTAAGAGCCACGTCATATACAGTCAGCGCACCACGTCAACATATATAGCCCGTTCGGCTAGGGCGGGCAGGCTGGCCAGCCCCCTCACATGGGCACTATTCATATGAACCAGCTAGCAATACTTCTCTCTCACATAAACGAACCTAGTAATGATACGATCCAGCCAACCAAAGAGGCTGATAGAGCGTGTTAAGACCCGTTTAGACCTGGATAACACCCGGAGTCAAGTTCGTAGATCCGAAAACAGTATTTGGGACTTACATGACACCTCGTTCCCAGTTGATGGATCGGCCCATAAATTTTCCTCCAAATCTTGCTTGTTAGCAATAGCAATTCTCTATATGGGATTGCTTATACTAATGCCTATTGCTGATTGCTTGTGAATTGTGATTTGCCCGGAGCAGAAAGATACGAGGCTAGGGACATCTAGACAGTCGGTCTAGGTTAGCACACAAAGCAAAGAGACGACACACCGAATCTAGGTTTAACAACTTTCGTCAGGCGCATAAACAACTCATGTGCACATGAATGAAGGAATGGAGAGGCGCTAGCTGATGAACTGATTACTGATAGGCCAAGCTAAAGCTGGATGGTGTGTAAAAACTAAAATGAATCGGATTGGAACCTATAGCCAGCATGCATGAGTGTCATCACTGAAAAAACTCGTGTGCCAAGTGCTGCAACATGGGTCATGGGTGCCCAGTAATATTAATATACTCAAAACACCGCATCATTTCCCGCTCGCTTCAAAGTGCTCTGTTTTTATAGTAAACTATGTGCTAGTACTAGTGCAGGACACTGTGCACTGTGTTCGTCCTAAAAAAATACAATCCTAAATTTAAGATAAGGCAAACTTGAGCTTGGAAAGTTTATAGAGATAATATTAGCATTTATGTCACTAAATATTTACTAATATAAATTTGTTTAAAATTAAAATTGTTTGACTTATTAGAAAACGAGAATTATATTGCATTCTTTTTTGAGGGAGAGAGTATGAATTTGCAAGGTCCGCTACACAAAACCCCTATTAATAAAACAGTGGCAAAGCTTTTGCCATTCTTAAAAAAAAAGCCAGACAAGCCCTGTAAAAGATGGGGAGCTTTCCCCGTACCCAGGCTACTCAACGCAGAGCCAGTAGTAGTAGTAGAATTTGGTTCCAGCTGGGCGGCCGGTGGTGAGTCCGGGATGAGATAAACGGCCACCGCCCCACTGGTCCACTGCGAGCGAGGCCACCGCCGTTCGCCGGCATGCTCCCCGCCGTGCTCCCATCTCTGTCTGTTGCCGTATTGAGACGACTCTTATCTTATCTGACCTGACCATGCATGTCCCTCCATCGCTTTACAGAGCTGCACTGCACCCCAGTGTGTGTATGTGCGTGCCAAGCAAAAGGTCGTCGCGAGTTGCATGCCTGGGCCGTGGACCAACTGCAATCCGGTTCACACAAGGGGCAGGGCAACGACGAAAGAAGCTAGAAGTGGTTCCCAATCGGCAGCCTCGATCTATTACGCTTATCATTTCTGCTCATTCCTTTTGTTGATGGAGCTAGGTAAGTACTTCATCCGTTCGAAAAAATACAATTCTCGTATTTCTAGAAGTCAAACAATTTATACTTGGACTAAAATTATATAAAAAATATTAATATTCATGATATAAAATTAGTATCAATAGATTAGTTACATAATATATTTTTATAATAAATTTATTTAGAGATATAAATGTTAATAATATTTACTATAAACTTAGACAAACTTAAATAAATTTGACCGATACGGATCTCATAATTAGATATTTTTGCGGACGAGAGAGTAGATGTGAAAAGAGCCTGTTGTGGAGCGTGGCCGACATCGGCACACCTCGATGATACCTTGCCTTGCTCTGCTGCTGGATCATTTTCTTTGATCCTTTGCAGTTTGCACGAGAGTCTGCCTGGTCTGCTCTCGTTTTTTCACAAGGTAATGTGATTGCGTTGTCAGAAACTTCGTGTACGATGATCAGAACGAAATGACCATGGCGCAGACTGGGATGTATGGAGATGATGATTCTTCAGGCATGGTAGGATGCGTTAGGTAATGCTGCATGGGTCTGTTGTCAAAAAAAAAAAAAAATGGTGCATGGGTCCTCTCTGTCTGAATGGGAGCTAATCTTTGTTGGCAAAAGTAGGGACTAGGGAGTATACGGCCCTGTTTGGATACTCTAACTAAGTTAGAGGTTAGAGTTACTCTCTAGCTCATGAGTAGCCCTAAACTAACTCTAGCTAAAGAGGTGTTTGGATGCAAGGGTTAGATTGATAATAAATATACTTTCCCAATCATTTGGCTCCTTCCCAGTCGGATTTGGTGTGGCCGGCTGTTGTGTGCCCTATTCAACTTGGTGATTATTTTGTGGGAAGAATAATGCTTTATGAAAGTATTACTGTCCAAGGTTAGTACAATAATAACTTACCCAACAGCAGTAGCGCCCAATGAAGCAACTTTATAAATGACTTTAGTTCCATCCCATGCCTTCTGGATTTTACTTTTCTTCTTTTCAGCTGAAAACGTCTTCCTAAGCGCTGGAACATGAACAGTCAAAAAGTTTAACATCAGAATATCCAATAAAAACCTATTTCACCGTTCGTCTTAATTAAGAGAAGAAAAAGTAAACCTTTCTGAAGTTGATCTGGAGACATGTCCTGCACAAACATGAAATTCACACATTAAATATATAAAGCACCCCTTGTACAAGATGCAGAGACATGAAACTCCTCGCTCAGTATGATGATCTCATCAGGTGAAGAAAATTGCTACCTTGGTCCCTTTAAGTGATAACAAGTATGCAGCCATAAAGGAAGTAATCCCATCAACCACATCCACCTGCTTAACAAGAACATATCCATCATCTAAGTCACCATCTTCCCACAAATCCACCGACTTTATTATATCCCATGATGTATCAGATTCCACTGTGCCAAAGAACAGAGAAGTTTTCAAAGTACAGTGGTTACTATTTCAAGAAAAATAGAGTGAATATGCACCAAAAAAAAGAGTGAAAGGAACATATCTGAGTTCATATCCACTACAAAGGTAATTTGAGCCAGACATTTTATCATCTCTTATGTACTTTTTATAGTAGTAATATATTCATCAAATGAGGCTTACACGCACCATTCGATCTCATCGACTTCGAATACCATTGAGCTTACGAATACCATTCAAATGATGTATTTATTGTGGCATGGTCCAAAGACCGCCTAGCATAGTACTAACATTTTCAGTTTGCTTTATGGTTGGGTTGCATTTCGAAAAGGATAACTTGTTTTTCTGTTTGGTTGACATTTGAAAAAACAGAAAATAATATATCAGGTTGGTAAACAACCCATGGTTAATAGCAGGCCTTTTTAAGCAAGATGAACTATTCTCTTCTTCAAGGTGTGAGAAAATGTTGACTATCACATTCACACAGTTTACAAAATCAATACCTTTGAACCTACTCCAAAAGCTATGCCACCCACACGCACCAAATTCCAACAAATGTCGCTCTCAGCAAAATGAAATAAAAAGAAAAAAAAACTTATGTAACACAAAGGCGCAGATTGGATTATAACCCGAGCTCCAGAAGGAAGCCTGCAGTTTTGAAACGGTCTATTTTGTCGATATCCGAAACAAAACCAAGAGATGGACGATGAGAAACAGTGAGAGGCAACTCAACTTTCTTCGATCTTGATCATGTCCTTGTCCTCGTGGAATGATTGTACTCTCGCAGAAGATAGTTTACCCAGTGATGGATCAGTCATCCTATTGCTTGCACTCTTTGATGAACCCAGTGGCGAGGATCTAGTGCTATATTCTTGTTGACTAGAGTTTGTTTTCTCACATCGAGGCGGGGAGAGTATTGTTCCGAGATCTCGATTGCTTACATGATATGATTCGATAGTGCTGGGAAGACACGAAACTACGACTCGCAAGAGCTTTCGTATCACTTTTGGAATGTCTGCTGCTCTATAAACTCGAAAAATGTTCAAAGGAAGCTTTGGGTCAAAAGTCAAGACACCCCCAGCGTTACCAACAAAGTCTCGCAAACTTCTAGATTGGACAGAATTTAGTGACACATTGCACATATCATGTTCAGTTTGACACGTAAAGTAACAGCGCAAAATAATTAGACCAATTTTCTTCAAGCATCTTATTGTTGGAGTCTCTTATCTTCTATATCTCTAGTCTAACAGCCTGTTCGCTTGTTGGTTTCAGCCAGCCCAAACCAGCTAGCCAACAGTGTTTTCCTCTCACAAAAAACCAACACCAGTGAGCCCAAACCAGCACCAGCACCAACCAGCGAACAGGCCCTAAAATACTATCATAACATAGAATGAAGACATAAGAAATTGACTTGAGCTTTTAGCACCCAATATTAATGCAAGTATGCAACTAGTTAGCACCCAACATTAAGTGTGACTAACGAATATGACTTCAGATATGGAATGACAAATAATACAGTAAGTACTGATCAGAAGATAATGAGGCGTCATAAGCTACACTAGGTTTAGTCTCACCGAGAGAGAGATGCCGAGATCAGCGTCGGCATCGCACAGCATCACAACCGCTCGCTGGACCTGCTCCAGCACCTCCTCCAGCAAAAGAGGTGTTTGGTGTGGCCGCTCACAGATGACACAAACAAATCATCTTTACAAATCATGCATCCATAACACGATAAATTTTAATTTGTCCATACAAATGAGATGTCTAACTAAAACATGTCCTCAATCAAGCTAAAAAAATTACACTCCATTAAACAAAGTATCAGCTAACTCATCACGGAAGGCATTCATGTTGATATCTTCAACAAAAGGTTCATCCTCTGGCCATGCTGATGCAGAAGAACTAGGCATTGGGTTATAATTTTCATCCGCATCACATGCATCAAATTCTCTATCCGTAATTCTTCTCTCTCGAATAAAATTATGAAGAGCCATACAAGCAACAATAATTCTAGTTTGCTTGTCCTCTGGAAATCTTGGCATGTTCAACAAAATCCTAAATTTCATCTTCAACACTCCAAAAGATCGCTCTATGACATTCCTAACTTTGGCATGTGCATGGTTGAAGGTTTCTTTCATACCTTGTGGCTGCGGGCCGTTTTGCCATTGCTCCACATGGTACCTTGTACATCTGTATGGTGAAAGGTAGCCCGGCCGGTTTGGGTACCCCGCATCAACCACATAATACTTCCCTACATATTTTGAAAGGCATACAATGAGACTTAGATGAACAAGTGTAATTGGATTAAAATTGTTGCAAGACAGTTCAAGTAGCATACCTGGTGGTGGATGTGGAAATTTGTGATGATGAGTAATTATGGCATCTTTGAAAACTCTCATGTCATGTGCTGAACCAGGCCATCCCGACAACACAAAGGTAAATCTCATGTCGAAATCACAAACAGCAAGCACATTCTGACTGGTTTCATTGTGCCTGTTCAAGTATGGAACCCTCTTACTCTTATCCACCACAACCTTCACATGTGTCCCATCTATAGCTCCTATGCAGTCGTTGAAGTGTGGCCAGAATGCAGGATTTTCTAAGTTTGGGTGCACCTCTAAAAATGTTGGGTCCTTGGGTACAATTATGTCATGTGCTAACCTAAGGAGGCATGTCAAAACTCTATTAAATGTTCTGCTTACTGTCTCCATAGACCTCCTAAAATGGTTCTCAGCCTGTCTAACTGACTGTGGTAAACCAACAACCCATAAAAACATTGCAAGAGCCTCTACAGATGTCATTTTTGTACTGGACTTCAACCCATATGAATGGACCAAAGTATTATGTAGCCTGTTAAATAAAGGTCTCTTAACCCTAAATATATTGTAGCATTGGGTATCTCGAGCTAGTGTCTCCTGCACCCAATCCAAACCAGAGTCTCCAGTGACCCCCTAGGTAGTTTGACAAAGTAGTTATCAGAGTACATACCCAAGATAGGAACCAACTGCAAGATCAAATTCTGGGCCTCCACCAAATTATTGCAGCACATGGATATAATCTCATCCTCACTTGTGCTGCCTCCATCATCTTCTTCTTCCTCAATCATGGGGCCCTGATCTTCTTCCTGCTTCAACAAACAGCAGTGTAAGCAAATGAAATTAATTCAACAAATTAATACAGCCCATAGATAAATAGGTTCAACACATAGCATTAAGTCAACACATCACACAGATAATAGTTCAAGACCTCACACACAGATGATAGGTTCAACACACATAATAGTTCAACACCTCACACATAGATAATAGTTCAACACATAGATAAAAGATCAACATCTTAACACACACATTTCTTGAAGAACTACTCAACACCTCCTAAGCTCAGATTGTTGTCCCTACACCATTTCTTGAAGTAACCCAACCTAAGCTGAGGAGTTAATTTGCCACAGAAGAACTGCCTTTGGTACTCTGTTTCGAACATCTTGGACATAGCATAGACAGAGTCAACGGTTTCCTCAACGCCACACTCAAATGCCAGCTCCTGACATCTCTCTACAGAACATGCTGCCTTGTCACTTGCACGTTTCTGTATTTGAGTAGTGTTGACTTTGACAGAGTCTTTGAAGGTACTGGCTATGTCCTTCACAATCTTCACCATTGGGCTCTTGCTCTTCTTCACTGGACTGGTCAAAGTGCTTGAATTGCTGCTTAATGACCTCTTTCCCCTTTGACTCCTCTGGCTGCTTCTACTTGTAGGTGTTGTTTGAAACTCCTCCTCTTCCTCTTCTGCCCCTACATCTTGCTCCTGATTCTGACCATAATCATCTCTAGGCACAAAGGCTGTGCTTCCATCGACAGTGAACCCTCTAAATAGTTCATCAAGCAACTCCTCGTTTCCTGGAGGACCCCATTGCAGCCTCTTTAGGTATTGTTTTTTCTGCATCATAGGTTTACATCACAAGGTGATCAGAAACTAGTTAAGGTGAGCACACTACACAATTTGCTAGGAAACTCAGACTCATGCATAGCTTTACCTCTGTGTGTGTTGTCCAGAACTCAGACTCTGCATCAATTGTTCCATCTGGTTTCCTCCCCAACCCTGTGTGCGTTTGCAAGTAGCGCCAGAATGAGTGGGTGCTCTTGAGTACGCCTATTTGGTTCTTCACCTGTAGACGGGTATACAGCAACCCCCTTCGAGCAAGTAAGCCATCGACAATTGCTTCGTACCCTTCACCACTCATTTGTGCACCATTATACGTTCCTGGTCTACGTTGCTCTATGCACAATTCTAACAAGCAAGCATTATTTGCATCATTCCATTGGGCTCAATTGGCATGGCTCACCGGGGGACCGCCGGAGCTCGCTAACTCCTCCACATCATCCTCCAATTCTTCATCGATGTCGAAGGGAGCGCCGGAGCCGGATGCTTGCACACGGACGGCACTCCTCGGTGCCCTCGGTGCTCGAGGACGCGGTACGCGCTGGCCGCTGCCGCCACGGATTGCTGTGTTCGTGCGCTGGCCGCCGCCGCCACGTACCGCCGTGTTGGTGCGCTGCCGGCCGGGTACTGCGCCGGACGATTTCGCGCGCTGACGAAGGCCGCCTGCCCCCGACGACGACCCACCGGGGAATACGCCACCGTTTCCTCCTCCGCGACCGGCCGCCGCCGCCGACGACCCACCAAAGTGGAGTTGCCGGGCGTAGGGTGAGGCCGGAGTCGCCCACGCGTCTCCTGCTCCGGCTCGCGGTGGGCGATAGGGAGGGAGGACAGAGCCCCTGACGCGGCCAGGCAGGAGCTCGTCGACGTTGCCCTAGAGGACGGCTCCGTAGAGCCCAAGCCCCGGGAACACCTCCGCCGCCGGCGCTTGCGAGTTGAGTTCGAGATCCACGAGGCCAGCGGGAGCGTGGCCAGGGCCGCTCGCCGACGGTTGCGAGCCCCACACGTCGAAGCCGTCTCCGTCAATCGATGGGAGGCGGCGGCGCGGCTGGGGAGACGCGGCAGCGCGGATGGCGGGAGGCGGCGACGCGCGTGTGGCGAGATCCGCGGCGGCGCGCGTGTGGGGAACGGGAGGGAGACGAGTGCGGGTGGGGAACGGGAGTGAGATCCCGTGCGGCGTGCGGGCGAAAAAACACTTTTCCAGTGGGCCCCACCTCAAATAGCCTCAATAAGCATCATATGTGGTGGATAGTTTTTTGGGTGGGTTAGATGTAAATAACCCCAATCTAACCCTCATGTTTGGATACTCTAGAGGTATTTGAGTCCCAAATAGCTCCAACTAACTCTAACCCATGGATCCAAACAGGGCCTATATTTCACACCAACAGTCCAGCTGATGTTGCTGATTGATGATGTCAGTTTTTTTTTGAAAAGCTAACAGTAGGAGATCTGTCGAGCATATATTAACAGAGAAGGATTGATGATGTCAGGTTTGCTCATCGGATTTCGATTTCAAACTGAGGCCTTGTTTAGATTGCCTCAAAGTTCTAAGTTTTTTCACTCTCTCTCCATCACATTAATTTTTGGACACATATATGGAGCATTAAATGTAGGTAAAAAAAGTAACTAATTGCACAGTTTGGTTGTAAATCACGAGACGAATCTTTTGAGCCTAGTTAGTCCATGATCGGACAAAGTTTGTCAAATACAAACGAAACGTGCTACAGTGTCCAAATTGCAAAAAATTGCAATCTAAACAAGGCCTGATGCTGATTGCTAACCAATGGATTTGTATCTGAACTTTTACAACCCCACTTTAGTGTTTGTGGGAATAATCAACGCATAGAAAGCTCTAGCAAGCTATATAAAAATAAAAAATATAGTAATATACATACAAACTTTTGGTCGAATATAAAACAATGTATCCTCATCAACAGATTAATGAGAAAAAAAAGTAGGTGAGCTGATCGACCTTTGTTTGCAAATCAGTATTAGTTTGGATAACCAATCAGTGGCAGTGGCATCCCCATACAACTTGCAACAAGTTTCATGCCACTTCCCAGTATTATAAAACGGTTCTGGTATACGAATAATTTGAGTGGACGAGAAAAATGCGCAAATATATTGGAAGGTGCCACCACCCGCCCCCTAGCCTTTTAATATTCACTGTTTTTTATAGGGTAAAGTCCAATTTATAACCTCCAACTCTCGCAACAAATTGTTGTTTTGTGGCGTGACGAGACTCAAATTCAAAAAAATAAAAAACCATTCAATACGATGTCGGATGAAGATAATTTTTATATGTAAATTGTACACCTCGATGAGATCTACACCTTTATAGTTTTAATTTTTTTCATTTGAGAACAGTAAGATGCTCGAAAAAATAATATAAAATTTCAGTACCATAATAATCGCCTACTAACGCTTGCCGCATTAGAGCACTAATATATTATTTGTATAGAGTTAAATGAAAATACTTTTTATAGCAAAGTTGTAGCTCTCAATGAGATCTACAACTTTATAGTTTTGATGCTCAAAAAAATATATAAAATTTTGATGCCTCTCGAAAAAATCAAAGGTTACTGTTCATACGCCAAAACCGCCCGAATCCAGCCCAGGGTTGAAAGTTGAACGGTTTCAAGAGTTGGAGGACCAGAGTTATCCGGTTTTGGAGTTCGAGATTGAAATCCAGACTTTGGCAAGAGTTGGAGGTTATAAATTGGACTTTACCCTTTTTTATATGCGCATACATTTGGAACTCAAGAATCTGTATATGTTTTAGAAAAAGTTGGCTGAAGTTTCCAGAGAGAGACCAATCATTGACTTGTTAGGATCATGAAATACCTCTGCTAAGTAGATCAGTGGTAAGCCTCTTGGACGCCAGTGTCGAGGAAGCTCGCGCGGTGGAGTCCAACGTGGTGGAGATGTCCGGTGGCGACGGCGAAGTCGGTGGGGCTTCCCGTCGCTGGCAGCACTACTGTAGATCGGATTATGTTTTCTGTTGGTGGATCATGGCGGCTCAGACCAACCTCGTAATTAGAGTAGTGATCCTCACCTCTTTTTTATATGTACTGTGCGACAGGGGCCCACCAACCATATTAGGGTTGGGCACCCCTGATCAGGGCGTAGAGACAAGGGCCTAATTGGTGGAGATCAACTAATATTCTCCTCCTTGATCTCACTACCATCTTTTAATTTCACATCATTTACTTTTGTTCATTCCATTACAGATTAGCGCATAGAGCATTTTTCATCGTCACGGTCAATTGCCGATAGATTTAACAGCTACAACACACCACTCTGTTCTGAAATAGATACTTAACTTTGGGTCTTCTTTTGTCTAGAAATTTTAGGCTTTTCTTAAACCCATGCTAGCTACATGTTCTCTGAACACGTTGGGTGGCAAGCCTTTTGTAAGCGGATCCGCGAGCATCTTTTCTGTACTTATATGCTCAAGACTTATGACATGATCCCGAACTTTATCTTTCACAACATAATACTTTATGTCAATGTGTTTGGCAGCACCACTTGACTTATTATTGTGAGCATACTGTACTGCCGAATTATCATCGCAGTATTACTTAAGTGGTCTATATATGTCGTCAATCACCTTCAATCCGGGTATGAACTTCTTTTGCCAGTTCACCTGCCCCGTTGCCTCATAACACGCTACAAACCGTCATACATTGTGGACGATGTAGTGACGGTTTGCTTTGATCTTTTCCATGAAATAGCTCCCCTTGCGAAAGTGAATACATATCCAGACATGGATTTTCTATCATCTCCCGCATAATCAGAATCTGAATATCCCACTATATGGAGTGAATTAGATTTTCTATACGTCACCATGAGGCTTTTCGTTCCTTGCAAATAACACAAGATTTTCTTTACCATTTTCCAGTGTTCTGTTTCCAGGATTGCTCTGGAATCTGCCAAGTAACCCGGTAACAAATGTCAAGTCAGGACGCGTACATACTTGAGCATACTGCAAGCTTCCGACAATTGAAGCATATGGAACCACTTTCATTTGATCGATCTCATATTAGTTCCAGGGGCATTTAAAATCCCCATATCTGTCGCCCTCGAATATAGGAGCAGGTGAGGGACTACATTTTGCATACAGAATTTCTTTAAGATCTTTTCTATGTATGCCTTTTGTGACAGTCCTTATACCCCTTTACTTCTATCTTGGTGAATCTCGATCCCTAGAACGAACGAAAGTTCACCAAAATCTTTCATATCAAATTTTGAGGACAAAAACTTCTTTATCTCCAGTAGGAGACTAACATGACTACTAGCAAGTAAGATATCATCCACATACAGGACAAGGAAGATAAACTTCCCATTCTTAAACTCTGCATAGACACAATTGTCCTCTACATTCTCTTTAAAACCCAAAATTCCTTATTGTCTGATCAAACTTTAAGTACCACTGTCTTGAAGCTTGTATTAATCCATAAATGGATTTCTTTAGGCGGCATCCCATTTGTTCTTTTTCTTCCATGACAAAACCCTTTGGTTGTGCCATGTAAACATCTTCCTTCAAGTCCCCGTTGAGAAATGCCGTCTTTACACCTATCTGATGTAATTCTAAATCGTAATGTGTCACTAATGCCATTATGATTCTGAAGGAATTCTTACATGAGACTGGAGAAAATGTCTCATTGTAATCAATCCCTTCTCTTTGCGTAAAGTCTTTTGCCACAAGTTGCACTTTATATCTCTCTATATTTCCTTGGGAGTCAAGTTTTGTTTGTAGACCCATTTACAGCCTACTATTTTGGCTCCTTTAGGAATTATCTTCAAGTCCCAAACTTTATTGGCATTCGTAGATTTCATTTCATCTTCCATGGTCTCAAGCCACTTTGATGAATGATCATTTTTCATGGCTTATGCAAATGAGGTGGGATCATCCTCCATTTGAAATTCCTCAGTGTTGTATACTTTATTGTCAGCAGGAATAGCTGATTTTCTAACTCATTGAGACCTTCTAGGGGCCTCCACATTTTGCACATCTTCTGTTTAAGGCTGTTGTTGCTCCCCCTCATGTGTGGCAATAGGTTCTATAGGATCCTGAAGAACAGATTCCTTATCATCATTCATTGTTGCCACTGGCGGAATAACAACAGGTGCTGGCACCACATTATCTGACACTATCGGTGCAGCGACAGCAAGTAGTGAGAAAAATGGCTTATGAATCATTGGAGTGGGCGCATACACCCGTTTCTATTCAAGGTCAATTTCTCGAGCTACCATGCTCCCCCTCATCAATTCATCCTCTAGGAAGATAGAGTGTCTTGTTTC